AAAAAAAAAGCCATGATTCAGTATTTTATCACATTTTCTTTTGAAAGAATATATTTGTAAAATGTCAATGATTCTCATAATGGTCACTCTCCCCAAATTCACTGTAATAACTAGCATTTGAAAAGAAATGAAGAGTACAAAAGAACTTATTTAAATAAAATAAATATTTCCTTCTTTATTTGATTCGTGCAAATGGGAAATCAAGGGGAGAAATGGTCAAATGGACAATCTTTGTGGATTGGAAGACTAAGACACAAGTACTTTATGTCCTCTTTTAAATGTCATATTGGCACTTTACACTGTTCTAGAAAATAGTTTAAGGAACAATATGAGGTAGATTTATAATTCAATGTAAAAAACATGCTCTTAGACTTTATGTAACATATGCTAGGTAATTTGCGCAGGTTTGAGGAAATTTGTTGTGTCCAGGATAGCTCAAATTCATCATTATTCACATGGAAAATAATACTGAATTTGATGCACAAGATAGGTTTAGGGATACTGATGAAAATGTCTAAATGTGACTTATAAATATCCAACATACTGCTTGCAGTAATTTTGTACATTATCAATTGTGAGCATTTTATATAATAAAAGCTATTTATCTTTCAGCTTATAAAAACTCCACTTCAAAATTATATATTTTAAAATATTTTTCATGTACTCAAAATATATATGTATTGGTCTACTCAAATATATTTTTCTATAATCAGGCTATTACATTTGATATCATAGAACAAATATTTATTGTGGTAATAGCTTCTGCCTTGCATTATGCCAGACACTGGGAATATAGTTTTGACCAAAACAGAAATGACCTCTGACATAGTGAAATATAGAACCAGTTCAGATAAACTATAGATAGAGCGTTTAAGGAAAAAAACAACTTTCGTTCTTACTTTGATTTGGTCGGAATTCAAAATTAAAAGATATAACAGAAGTTAATTGATTAATGGTGGTGCCAAATTCCATGTTGCTTTTGTGTTTTAAGTTAGATTTAACAAATATTTGTTGATTAGCTATTGCTTCAGGTTTGATATAGATACAGAACTGAAAAATATTCCTTGCCTTCATAGAGTTTAATCTAGTATTTCTGTTATAAACTGTGGCCATATATGTTAAATTTGATGTATGGGAAAGTAGTATAGATTACAATTTACTTACTCTACATACAGAAGGATTCATATTTTTTACTCGACTTGTATGCATTAATCTAATAGGAAATGTTTGATACTCAAACCTACTTAAGTGTTTGGCAGAATTTTTAAATAATTAAATATTTTTCATAGAATATCATATTTCATATATCTTACCATATTTAATTGTGAAATTTATCAAAAAAGACAATTCTGTTTTGTGAACTTACCTGGAATTTTTTAATATAATATAATAAAAAAATTCATATCAGTTTTTTTCTACCAATTATTACAATGACCAAGAATCTACATGTGTTTCTCTTATCTACATGTGTTTCTACATGTGTTTCTCTGATATATTTCCTACAGTGGATGTGAAATACAATGGATGGGATTATCCTGAGGTCATTTACTTATTCTTAAAATCCTTTCACTTTTCCAGGCTTTGGGCATCTTTATTTGAATGTCAGTTACACTTGTGCTTGTTTTCAATATTACCTAGAATTAGAAATCCTTTTTTTTGGCCATGGTTTAAAAATTTAATTATTAATCACTGGAAGGGAAACTCTCTTGGTGTAACACAGATCCAGTAAGCCTTTAATAGAACTTGTGACAACTCTACTGTTCTTGTTTCTTGGTAAAGATAGATCTAAATTATAACCAGACATTTTCCTGATATCTTCTTGGATAAATATCTTACCAAGCATTTCTCTTTTTCTAATCCTTATCCTTCTTTCTAACCTAAAAATGCAGCCAAGCTGTAATAGTCAAAAACATTAGAGATCCATTTTGTCCAGGAAATAATCTATGTCTCTAACAACTTTCTTATAGGTCTATATATTTCTCTAGAATTTTCTTAGTTTAGAAATAGATCTAACTGAATATTTCACCATAAATTATATTAAATTAATGTTTACAAATTTGTATAGGAGCACCTGAGTGCCTCAGGTTTCCACTAGGTCATGATCTGAGGATCCAGAGATTTAGCTCTGTGTGGAGCATGGAGCATGTTTAGGATTTTCTCTCCTCTCCACTCACCCTACCCCTATATGCATGCTCTCAAAAAAAAAAAAAAAAAAAAAGGTTTGCATAAAGTTATCAACTCTCAAAAAATTGCATAAAGCTATAAGATCAATGTAAACTACACCAAAGAATAAGTACAGTATTAACATTTCCTTACCTATATTTAGGTAACCAAATTGATAAATAAATGTAAGGTAAAGTATACGTTGAAACTCCTCTATAAATGTCAATAAATTATACATTTTCTGATTATAGTGTTTGACATTCACCATCAGAGTATAATCTAGGTCAAATACAAAGGAAAGGACTATTTTCAGGGAAAATAGACACATACACAAATAGATTAAATGTGCCTTATAAATCCATCATTAAATACTAGAAGTTTATAAATCTTCCTGATCAGAATTGCTAGCAGATGCTGGCTTTGAATTTAGGGTGTTATCCAAGCTGATCATGATTGTAGTCTTAATTTGAAATTTTAACATGTAAGATTATACTTGAATTTTTACTGCCTCCTTTCTAAATCCTTTTCCAAGTATAAATGAAGCTCTTGAACAGAATATTTCTGAGAAACAAATGTCAGCATTGGTAGCAGATTAATATTGTTGAAGGGATTTGATGAGATTATTATTCAGTATAATATAATCTGATTCCATTTGAATATTTTTAGATAGGAAGTTAGAGATGGATACTGTGTTCCTTCAATATGAACTATTTGAATTACAATGCAAGTCCTGAAAAATATACTCTTTCAACAGTATTTGAGCTATTATGTTTTCTTCTCACATTTTTTTTAAAGTAGAACTTTTCCAAATGTAGACTGAAAAATAACCTTCATTTCCTGGATAGCAGTCAAAATCTCCTTTCTTGCCACCTAATGAAGAATTATTCCTAGAGCAGAAGAGCATCACCTAATGTCTCATGAGAAAGCTATTAGTATGAGATGGTCACATTTCATAGATAGAAACTTTAATGCCAAACATTAATGTAGAAATCCATTTTCACAATCTTTCTTATGTCTTATATCTCCTTTCTGCTTTGATGAAGATTGTATGGGTAGGTCATGAAAAATAATGAACTGGGTTTTAGAAGTAGAAAGATGATCTAATTTCTTTTTGTTTCTTTTTTTTTTTCTTTCCTCACCTGAGAAAATGGAACCAATAGTCAGTGAAAGGACTGATGATGAGAACAGGAGTGATTTTAAAATGTGGAAAACCCTGCGATGTCAAAATTAATCTGGTGCATTTTACAAACAAGGCAATACAGCAATTGAGATGTGCCTATCTCTCTTCCACAAATACTCCTCTTATGGTGTCATGTGTTCCTTTCATTCTTTTATCTCTCTCCTTGGTTTAAGGTGACTCTTAAAAGTTTAGCTTTGGATACTGCACAGAGATTATTTTTTTGAGGACATCATGGGAAATAAAGTAGTTGCCTTCTAATTATTCATGTTCCTCTTCTTCCTCACTAACAGTCTTGGTTGTTTAAGTTTTGTTCAAGTAGCAATTTGTCTACTCAGCCTCTCTTATAGTACAAATGCTCCTGGGATACTGTTCTGGCCAAGAAAATGCCTACATAATCCTTGGGGAGAACATCTCTTCCCAAATAGAAAGTCAGAGCCTCAGTAGGAAGATGTCTCTTACTTGCTCTTCTGGTTTCAGCTTGCCTTGAGTTTGGAAAGACACTTTTAGATACATCAACCTTCTTGTGTCTGTAATGAATAAAACCAACACACAAAACAGATGTGGGTTCTATGGACACCACTACCTCCTATAGGTTTCCTATGTGAGAAAAATCATCCTCTATCTATATAAATTACTGTTAACTGTTTTTGTTACTTGTAACAAGCTATTATGGACTGAAATTTAATTTATCTTAAGTTGTTTTTGTATTGTGTAGAAGGGGAAAATGTGGTAGATATTGAGCAGGAAGTTGCTATGAGTATTTCTAACCAATTTCTTCAAGTAGTAAGAATGGTATTTTCCAAAAAAAAAAAAATAAAATAGTACTTTTGGAGGGAATATATCCCCACCCCAGATAACTTAGAGCAATCTGCAAGAGAATTATATAGACTATCAGGCACTGAACAACTTAGATGATCAAGGCCAGCGTGAAGTAGAGAATCAAGTAAAAATTGGCTTTAGTGTATTTTGTCCCATGGTCCTGCCATTGTTGCAATGAACCATTGGGTTTTTATTATAGTTTTCTGTTGTTCATAAAGAATAATTGGCAATTCTATTGATTCCATTTGAGAGGATCAAAGAACATTTCTTCGTAATTGAAACATTAATTTTAGCTTTCATTTTGTTTTAATTACTTCCTACTGACTCCAGTCAATGTCACATGGACTAATAATCTTTTTAAGAGAGATAAACAAGTTAAATGACCAATAAGAGGGAACTGGTTAAATAAATATTATTTAATTTATACTGTAGCATATTGTAGTTTCATTAAAAATAATGTAGAATAATATTTAATTACCATTAAATACTCACCACCCAATATTAAAACTAGCAGGTTATGAAATATTATATTCAATATTATTCCAATTTCAGAGTAAAAAAAAAAAGGAAAGAGACTGAAAACTTCTATACCAAATATGAAGAGTGTTTCTCTGGGTATTTATATTATGAGTGATTGTATTTCTTTATATTTTTCAATCTTTCCCAATTTCTACAATTAATTTATATGACTCACTAAGTGATATTATAAAAGGTGCCTTGGCTATTAACAATGTGACTTTAACATTGAAAACACTTTAAGAATAAATCACTTTTACTGACTACCGTTTCATCAATGAAAAGTTTGACAAGAAATCTCTGTTTGTTTGTTTTAATACAGAAATCCTTAATGGTGGAGTGTATGTAGACCAGAACAAATTTCTTTGTTACACAGACACAATTCATTGGCAAGATATTGTTCGGAATCCATGGCCTTCCAACCTGACTCTGGTGTCAACAAATGGTAGCTCAGGATGTGAGTAACATTATCTTTCTTAATGTCTCAAAATGTTCTTCTGCTTCTTGTGAAAACAAACAGCTTATGTTTATCATGCCACTAATCATATTTTGAATTTTGATTGCAGCCATTAAAATGTTCAGATATATATAAGAGAAGAATCTTCTAATTAGCTCTCCTTTTGGAATGATAACTTCCCTTTTATAAATTCACATATTCTTAACATGACTTCTTTTGCTAACTCTAAAAACTTTACTATATTTCTAATGTCTAAGCATTCCAGTGTCTAAATATTTAAACATCTGCCCAATTGTCCATAAACTTAAGACTGGTGTCTAACTACTGTTCGGTTCTTTGTGACCCACGTACCACTGAGAAAAATGTGGTAGGACAAAATTAAACCTTCCTATTCACTATAATGTTTTAAATTTAAAAACAAAACAAAACAAAACAAAACTGGTGAACACTGTAAAACTCCTAAGCCTCCATTTGTCCCTGAAACCTTTATGGTAATACTTCATGACAATTCCAAACAGTATAAATAGAATGGAGAATTACAGATTTCACAGAAGAGTTATATGTTACATTCTGGTTTTAGTCATTAGCCTAATAAACTACCCAATTTCTCATGCTTCAAGTGTATTGTTTCTATCACAGAGGATTTATCAGATTCAGAGTGTTTAATATGATTAAATGATAAGCAAGTAAAATTTGAACTACATAATTAAAATTTTAGAAAATTATTCTGCCTGGAACCTGTTTCACTTTAATAAAGCAGGCTATGTGGTCCCCACATTTATTACTACTGACATTTGTATGAGAACAGAATCCTTATCAAGTGTTAACCTGGGTTTTATATTTCTCATCTGTTATTATATATTTCCCTCCTGAAATCATAAATGTCTTCACACAGTTCGATAATTATTTGCAATAGTGCTGATTGTGTTATGACACTTTTGTAGGAAATCAAACTCCAAGGGACAATTATTAAATTTCATGATGGCCCTCATAATATAATGGGGAAATATGAATGTATTTGATCCAAACTGACAGCTGTGTTTTTAATAAATGGCTAAATTTTTTAAAGTAGAGTAACATAATTTTCTTGTCACCTTTGAGCAGAAATTTGTATGAGATTTCGTCTTTACAGCATTCAAGTTGCCTACCTTGTAAAATTACATGTGAATAAAACATTGAATCTGTTCACACTAACAAGACAAATGATGTGCTTCAGAAATGGCTTCCATTTTCAGTCTGCCCATACTATGGTTTATTTTATATTTGGGGACGTGGATTATAGTGGCTGCATAAGAGGAAAGGGTGACTGACTTAGCTTATTAGAATGACCAGCCTTTAATGCCTGAATGAGACCAGGCAAGAATGAAGCCCAAGACAGAAGCCGAAGGGAAGCCTTACCGGATGTGGAATAGGAAAGGTCTGGGGGGTTGCTGCACTTTCACAGATGGCATCTCTTTGTGCTATTATTTGTGGGCAATTTTGGATGGTTGTGCCTATAATTAGGCAACTGTAGCTGCATTTGTTTTGCATGCAAATAATTGCAGGTGCAAAAATTATAAATGCAGAGTAGAGTCGTAACAATTGGTCCTTTACAAATTAACCATCAATTGCTTACTGAAGTTTTATCCTTTAAATATACTGCATGACACCAAAACTGAAAATAATGAATTCTCTGGTCTTTGAATTCTGGTATCACTCCGACTGAGTTTTTTCCTTTACCTTCTCCCCGTGGATGATAATAGGTACCCTCATGGTTTTAAGTAGGCTCCATGCCCAGCACGAAGCCCAGTGCAGGGCTCGAACTCACGACCCTGAGATCCATACCTGAACTGAGATCAAGAGTCAAACCATTAACCAACTGAGACACTCAGGCACCCCTTCCCTCAGGGTTTTAAGTGCAGCTTCTATAGTGAGGACTTCCAGAACTACAGTTACCCAATCAGTCGCCAAAGTTAAAAACCTTGTGGTCACCATAGACTTCACCTTCTTCTTGGTTCGTGGCATTTGTTTAATCATTAAATCATACTGAATTTCCCTTTTTCTTGATTTTACATATTTCTTAACATTGCCATAGCTGTAATTCAAGTCTTTATCCATTGTCTGAGTTACTGAAATCATTTCTGAATTCTTAATAATTTTTGAGTCCACAAACCCTGTGCCGTCTGGTGAAACCAATAGCTTCCTTCTTATAATAATTTAAAATTAACAAATAAGCACAAATATTTTATATCATAAATGCATAAAAGTAAATAAGTCCATTAAATAAATTTTAAAGGATTACAAAGAAAATTAATTATACTGAAATACATTTATCAACATACTTAAAAATAATTATGTGATATGGTAATATGCTTCTTTATTAGTATGTTAAATTAAAAAATTCTAATAGTAGAATTAATAGGCAATGTAGTTTTGTAGCTGTGATGGGCCTAAATATTATTTTAAAAAAGATAATCACAATAACAAATAGTGCTGAGAAAATTGGATTTTCACATGTACAAGATTGAACTTAGACTTTTATCTTGCCCTAAATGTGAGAAATTAACTCAAAAAGAATTAAAGACCTAAACATAAAACTATAAACTATAAAACTCCTTAGAAGAAAACATGGAGGAAAAGGTTCATGACATTGGATTTGGCAATAATTCTTGGAGCTGTCCCCAAAAGCCAAGACAACAAAAGCAAAAATAGAAAAATTGTGCTACACCAAACTTAAAAAATTCTGTGCATCAAAGGACATGGTCAAAAAAGTGAAAAGGCAACAAACAGAATGGAGAAAAATTTACAAATTATATATCTCACTAGGGGTTAATATCCAGACTATATAAAGAACTTTTACAACTCAACAACAAAAAACAACCTAATTCAGAAATGGACACGGATTTCAAATGATGTTTCCTGAAAGATGATATACAAAGACGATCAATATCACTTTGATTTTTCTAAAAAGACATTTATTTATTTATTTATTTGACAGAGAGAGAGCGAGAGAGAGAGAGCCCAAGTAAGCAGACCAGCAGGCAGAGGGAGAGAGAATAGCAGGCTCTCCGCTGAGCAAGGAGCCCGATGCAAGGCTCAATCCCAGGACCCTGGAAATCATGACCTGAGCCGAAGGCAGCCACTTAACCAACTGAGCCACCCAGGCGCCCCATCACGTTGATTTGAAATCCAAATCTAAATATCTTTTTTTTTTTTTTTAAGATTTTATTTACTTATTTGACAGAGAGTACAAGTAGGAAGAGCATCAGGCAGAGGGAGAGGGAGAAGCAGACTCCCCCCTGAGCAGGGAGCCCAATGCAGGGCTCGATCCCAGGACTCTGGGATCATGACCCAAACCGAAGGCAGCTGGTTAACCGACTGAACCCCTCGGGCGCCCCTGAAATCCAAATCTAAGCCATGAGATACCACTTTACGGCAGTTAGAATGACTATTATCAGAATGATAGAAAATGACAAGTGTTGGTGAAGATGTTAAGAATTTGAAACCTCTCTGCACCATTGTGGGATTTTAAAGTTGTAAAATAGTTATGGAAAAGAGTATGAAGTTTCCTCAAAAATTAAAATAGAACTACCATATTATCCACCAACTCCACTTCATGGTATATATCCAAAAGAATTGAAAGCAGAGTCTCAAAGCATTATTTGCACACTTATATTTATAGTAGCATTATTTATAATAGCCAAGAAGGGGGGATATCCCAAATGCTCATTGATGAAGGAATGCATGAACAAATGTGGTACACACACACACACACACACACACACAAGTACATTATTCAACCTTAAAAAGAGAAGGCAATTATGACATGTTGCCACATGGATGACATTTGTTAAGTAAAGTAAGCCAGTCATAAAAAACCTTATGTCTACTTAACAAAAGGTATCTAGGGTAGTCAAGTTCATAGAAACCAAAAGAAGAATGTGGTTACCAGAGGCTGAGAGGATTGGGAAATGAGGAGTTTCTGTTTAATGAGTATAGAATTTCAGGTTTGCAAGATGAAAAAATTTTGTAGATCTATTCCACAACGTTAACATTCTTAACACTACTAAGCTATACACAAAAAAATGGTTGTGACAAGGGTGGTTATGACTGAGTGGTTCAGTCAATTAAGCATCCCATTCTTAGATTTTGGCTCAGTTCGTGATCTCGTGGGTCCTGAGATTGAGTCCCAAGTTGGGCTCCCCACTCAGTGGAGAGTCTTCTTGAAGATTTTCTCCCTCTGTCCCTCACCCAACTCTCTCTCTCCCTCTCAAATAAATAGGTAGATAAATCGGTTTTTTAAAAAGGTTATGACAGTAGATTTTTATGTTGTGTGTTTTTACTGCAAGAAGAGAAAAAGAAAGAAAGAAAAGAAAGAAAGGAGGAGGCAGGGAAGGAGGAAGGAAGGGGGAGGGAGAGAGGGAAGAAGGAGAGAAGAAGGAAGGGAGGAAGGAAGGGAGAAAAAAAGAAAAAAATATTATGATACCTGTAAGAACTGGAATGCAGTATGAATACATCTATAGTTTCTAGTCATCACAGTGAAGCAGGTACACTTATCTTCATAAGTGATAAAAATTCTATATTTGATATGATTAATGTGAATAATAATGTAAGGATTCCTCATTCAAGTTCAAGGACCTCCTAAATATATCCCTAAGCCCTTTAGGGGCTCCAGGTCTCCTGGTTAAGAGCCCCTGTGTTTAACTACTCTCCTTGCCTCCAGTCCTGACAAATCCACCTGACAAAGTGCCACCAAAAGCTCTGTTTAATGCATATCTAACCATGACCCTGTCCAAAAACCCTTGCGCTGCAACTGACTAAGGGGGGGGAGGGGTCAATTCTTAACAAAACCAAAGGCTTGGAGTTTTTAGCAGATTCCTGTTTATTTCTCTCTACAATGGAATGAGTTCTTATAATTTATTTGTCTGTATTGCCTTTCCTTTTCTGTTTGCCAGACTAAATTTTGTTCATACTTTAAGACACTCATCAATTGTTATCTCTTGTAAGAAGTGCTCTCTTCT